AAGCAAAATTAAGTGATACAGTATTTAGAGATGCAGAAAGCCCAGCAAAAGCTTAAGATAAAATAACTATGTTCTACAACTACACTCAAAACTCAGTATATTCCTGAACAAGTCCCATGTGAACTACTGGTAGCATCTGAAGGTGTAATTTCCAAAGTCTCTATTGCTTGCTATTTTCAATAGTGAAAGTGATTTAGGCATTTTAAGGAGTCCCTAACAGATAAAACCATTCTGGGTCTAATTCATCATGAGCTACCGTGCCAGATAGATGTCTATAGGCATCTATGTTTCTATCCAGCTATATGTGCAACAACCCAAAATTAAAAGTTTTGTATAGCTACTACTGCCTTAAATACATGTACAGTAAACTCGAGACATCCACGAACTCTAGATGGCCACAAAGGCAATCTAGAACAAACCCTTACTGTAGGATATACTCTTGGGGACACCAGCTCCTTACATGCCACCAGCCTTATGCGAATAACAACAGAGCTGCTGGAAGTGCAGAGGTGGCAATCCATTCAGCTTATGAACGACTGATTCCTTTTGTATTACATCATTCAACTACCCATTAAGGAGCTGGACTGACAGGATCCAGAATATGCATAGCCCAGCCCTCCACGGTAAATGAGCGTTAGAAAAGATTAATGCTCAAAGAAATTGGTGATTCATCAGGGCGTCAAAACAGCGTTTCCCCAACTCCCTGCAATGTTCTAGGCCAAGTAGCAAGCCGCGTATTAGTAACCCCTGCCAGACTTCCAATTTTGGAGTTAATTGCTGTTCCTGAAACACATACCCAGACACAAAATACCTGCAGCAGCACACATCACAGAACGAACACTGTCATGGCTATCCTAATCGCACAATTATGCTGTATTACAGTCACACCTAATTTAAGTACTCTAAAGCACCTCTGTTGTCTGCAGAAATTACTCTGTAGCACCTGCTTCCTCATAGAGGGGGGGACACTCCCCCTTAAGAAGGGTATGTAGCAGCAACACACACAGGCAACATACAAATGTGAAAGACCAATGAAAACAAATTATAAATCTTTGGCTCCAGCACATCATCAAAATTGAAGAAATACCAGCTATGAACCAATTAGTTGAATTTGTTTCTGTCTCGCACTACTTTCCAGAACTCGGCTAGATTAATTTAAATGAATGAGTGGTACAGGAATGAACTTCTAGTCTCCCGTTTCTAACATATCCTTAAAGAGAAAGAAACAGAACGATGGAATGGCAATGGGTCTTCTTCAATTATCCAGTATTTACAGCACCAAATTATTTTTATTGACAAGGTGAAATATCACCGAGTTTTATATTCAGAGAAAGTGCTTCAGAGGTATTCTATTTTCATGTTTGACTGTTAAGACACAGTAGTTTGCCCTGTGCTTACCACATAGGAGTTTATACATAGGAAAAGAAAACAGAACTTCCCCAAAGCATTAGCTTATAACTATATTAACATTTTCAACTGGTACCTTTGATAAAGCATATTACCAGTTCAGAGGGGAACAGGATGTGTGCACACGTTTTCTCTTTTTTGAGGTATCACATAAAACTAGCATTACTTCAAAATTTAAGTTTTACTTCACTTTCTCCCCCCTAACTTAATGATCAGCTTACGCTGTGAAATCCACCTGTCTAGATCTTGTTTTATAGACTAAAACGACTGCTTTAGTTTCAGCATGTGTGCGCCTTGCTTTTGGAACAACATTGCTCAAATACCTTTCCAGGGCCTTTACTACATGAGCAGCTTTTACTCTCATCTTTCACACAGTTCTCCGCACACTGTTGCCTCTTTCAAAACTGCAGGGGGAGGGGTTAATTTTCTTCCTTACAACGTCCTGTTTTGTAACATCCTTCCCTACTCGTACCTGTGTGTCCATTCTGAATGCAAATACAAAAGATGTGCAGTACTCACGTTAGTTTAATATCACTGATTACATAAATGCAGCCAAATCCTACTTTCTACAGTTATTTCTGAAAGTTACACAAACTTATCTAAAAATGTCATTTTGCTAGTAAATACTTAATGGAACAGAACACTATGTAAACCACATTTTTAACAACTTCTTACATCATGTAGCAGTTCCTCACATGTGTGCATGCACACACACAAAAAAAAAAAAAAAAAATCACACTCCCAAAGCTCAATATTCTCCAGACTTTAAAATATGTTTCTTTGCCTTCTTCATCTGGTCTCTTTTGCCTTTTCCTCTGTGTCAGTGATAGCCTTCTTGACATCACATTTGTTAGGTACCCCTACAGCCACCTTTGCACCTCCTTTCACAGAGCATCTCCAAATGCTCTTCAAGATCAATAATGCCCCTGCCCTTGACAAAACCTGCTCCTTCCAACACAGGCACAAGAAAAGGTAAGTCAAGTGCTCCACATGCTTACTTGTGTACCTTACCTGTTAATTTATGAGAATGTGAATGGCTGATGAATATATACAGGCACCATGGAATTAAACATTAGTAGCACTGAAGGGCCAAAAAGCCACCTAGTTTAGAAAAACTAAACTGATGAAACACATATACACCTAATCACTTTGTTCTTTATAACTCCTTTCTTGATACCTTTCAGCTGTCACTTTAGATTTGTCACGCAATATGGCCAGAAACATGCCTCTTCCGTGTCTAGCATGTGCATTTTGTGAGGTAAAGTAATAAATATTTAACAAAGAGTTTATATTACCACGCCAATTTATCTTACAACTGATTTAAAGCCAAAGCCACTGCCAGATATGAGACATGAGAGACACAGCAACCGATCTCCACAGAATGTATAGATTAGACAAACCTGACTGTATTTTGTGTTTCAGTAAGATGAGCCAAGTAGTGAATTGTACTCTAATCAAGTAAAATATCAGCACCAGAAATTGCCTACATGGTGACTGCATGTCTCAAAAAGAAACAAAAAACCCACAAATCCCAAAACCCCCAACAACTGCCTCCCATTCCTCATCTTTCATCTTGCTCTGTACTGAAGCAGATTTAAGTTCTTTCCATATATCTAAACAATATTTATATATGTACATACATATCAGTCATCCATACCTTTCGATGTGTATATTTGCATTAGCCTAAGCCATAAAAAGCAACCAAGGCACTTGCACTGAGACACCTTTATTCCCTTAAGGCACTTGAGTGTAAACACATGAAAAAACAGAAAGAATTAGAAGGGAAACAATTCCACCTAACCCAGAACACTGTGTGCACTTAAGGACCTCATTATATACCATGAAAACATACAATCACTTGTTTAGGAACATCCAAAAGGTCCAATGTTTTCTATTAATTCACTTATGCAAACCTTTAAATTTCATTTTTAATAAGGATCTTTTTTTCCCAAAAAATGTAAGACAAATTAAACCTAAGAGTAATATCGGCTTCCACATAAATAGTATATACATATAAATGGCAATACACCTAGAAGAATAAAATTTCCTACAGACATCATATGTAAAATACATATTGTTTTCTGTATGTACTTTATCAGGCCTCACCCTAATTTTTTCCTCCCTTTCACTTCCCGCAAAAAAAAAAAAAAAGCAATTAAAAAAATTACAAAATATCAATGTTGTTCTAATAGCTAGAGTGATTAAGCTGATTAGCTTCATATCTCAAGAATTAACTTGAAGAAATGCTTACAAAGTCAGCAGGAAACAAGTGAAAGTTCAACTGATAAAAAGTTACCAGATCAGAATCAAAGCTCTAGAGTTGTGAAATCCCAGCAAGTTTAAAAAAAGAACATAACATGTTTTGACCTTTGAAAATTTATCCAATCCGTAAAAACCTGATAAGCTTGACATGAAACATAAACCACATGAAAGGTTAAAGCCTTTCAATAGAGATCCTTAGGCGGTATTTAAGATTCCTACTCCAATTTTACTAAGGACTCAGATGGAGGTCAACAAAACTAGGCCAGAGACAAGACACAGGATCAGAAGCCAGAATTCCCATGGTTTTACCCCAACCGTGACTCAAGCTTAAATAGTGGTTTAGAAACCAGCTCTCTCTGAGTGACCACAGGCAAGTCTTAACCACTTTGTCTCAATTCCCTTACCTGCAGAATAAAAATAATTACACTTATCTGCCACACAGGAATCTTGTACAACATTGTTTGGCAAGTGCACGTGTGTTTAAACTGTGGACAAAGGTACATAGTAATTTCGAGCATCTACACAAACTGAAACTGAGAGTGAAAACAACTTGGCTGAAGCAGCTAGAGAAGGCCCCACGACAACAAAATCTTAGGGGAGAAACACCTTTTTTTGTGGTGGCTGCTTTTGCAAGTATTGCTTTGTAACCTGCGAGCAGAGATGGCCCGCTGGCGCCTGCACAATCAGTTCACCGATTCGGGACAGAGCTCTCCCGAAAAGTCAGCGCTTCCCCGCTCCGGCCTGGCGCCCGCGGCGCGGGGCCGGTCCCGCCTGCGCTGCCGCTCGCCCCGGCCACGCTCCTCGAGAGGGGGGGTCGCAGCTCCGCAGCCGCCCCTCCGGGGTGAGCAAACGGAAAGCGCAGCCGAGCCGGTGCCTCTGGCACCTCCTCACACCGCCCGCCCCCTCCCCGCGGCCCCCGGAGCCGCTCGTACCCGCGGCCCCCGGGGATCTCCGGCAGCGCCGAACCGGCGCGGGGGGCACAGCTCGCTCGGGGCCAGGGCAGCGGGCGCTGGGCGGGAGCGGCCCAGCCCGGCGACTCGCCTCCCCCACCACCACCATCGCAGCCCCGAGCCGGGATCCCTCCTCCTCCCTCCTGCCTCTCCCCCGGGAACCGCCTCGGGTGGGAAGATGGCGGCTCCGGCCGCCTCCCCGGTGCGAGGGGGGCGGCGGGTGGCGGAGCAGGGCGGGGGGGGGGGTGCCTCTCCCCCTCCAGCGCTACCGTTCCCCCTCGCACCAGGCGGCGGGTGGGGGGACGGGGGGGGGACGGGGGGAACGGCCCAACCGGGCGCCGCCGGCGGGACCGCGGGCCCCGGGGGACCCCTCGCACTCACCTGTCACCAGCAGCCGCCGCCGCGCTCGGGCCGGGCCTCGACGGGAAGAAGGCGGGCGGGCACAGAGGGGAGAGTCTCCGCCGGCGCCGGGGCCTCTCGCTCCTACCGGGCTTTCCGCTGGCGCCGGGGCCTCTCGCTGCGCCGCCGCCGCCGCCGGGGCCTCGCCGCCGCCGGATGCCGGGAGGAGGAGAGCGGAGAGCGGGGCGGGGGCCGGGAGGGAGGCGCGGGCGGCGGCAGCACAGCGGGGAGGGGGGGGGGGGCGCGGAGGAGGAGGCGGCGGCGGCGGCTCCGGGGCCCGAAACGTCTCCGAGCCGAGACTCAACCACCCGCTCGCATGAGAGACCCGCTTCCGGCTCCCGGCGGAAGTCCCTCCTCCGCCGGCGGAAGGGATTGGCCGGCGAGGCCGCGCGGAGCGGCGCGCTCGCTCGGCACCGGTGCCTGCGGATTGGTGGGAGAGGGCGCCGCGCGCGCCGTGACGCGCGCGTCGGCGGCGCGTGACGCGCCTGACGTCACCCGCCCTGAGCGCGCGCGCGGGGGTGGGCTCGCCGCAGCCCGCCCACCGTGGGCCGTGAGTTCCTTCGCGCCGGCCGTGGGTCCCCCCCCGCACCCCCCCGCAGCCCGGTCCCGCCGGCGCCGACCCGGGGGGGCACCCAAGGGGCGGCCAGGCGGGGGGGCCCTGCCGGTGCGTGCCCTCTCTGGGAGCTCTAGATCTGGGGGCACTTTCGGGTTCTGGGCGGGGACATGGGGCGCGGCGTCGCCTGTTGGAACGCTGTCACAACAGCACTGGGAGGAGCCGGGTGCCTGTCCAAAATGACAGACCCGACCACAGAATATTCGAGCTCTTAGTAGAGCAGCTACTCTGGAGTAGTTGTGGCTTCAGAAGGAAGTTATAACTAGGAGGAATTGAGGAGAAGAGTGTTTCATGAAAGAGCCATCTGTTTCATGCTGGTTATGAAAGCCAGGAGACCGTTCTCTCGGTAGGACTATTCTGACTTCTTGGCCTCAGTTTACCAAGTTGGGGAATAGAATATATCTTCAGTTATATAAAACCACAGTAAATTCCAAGAGATTCCAAAAGTTCATTTGTTTGACCAAACAACAAGTGTTGTCAAACAGCTCTAGTTATTTAGGACAGATCATAATTTGTTTTTAACTACAGTAATGAGGCAAATGGAAAAGGTGGGTTTTTTCAGCACTTCAAAAAAAACCCACTAGAAAGAATCCGGCTCCAGGACTGCTCCCAGTCCTTACCTGGCCTTCTACCACAGACATGGCAAAACTATATCACCTTACAACCAGCTGGAAATAATTATCTGTACCATGCATTGCTGCTTATCTTTGCATGTCAGAAATTAATCCAGATAGGGTCTTCTGTATCCTGTTTTTAATCTTTACAGGTAAGAGTCATATTCCTGCCTTCAGGGCATCTACCAGAAATTCTCATAGAGGCTATACTGCAATTAACTTGGAAGACCTAAGGACACCCAAGTACCCTTTGGAACTGTTTTTGAGGTTGCTGTTTTGTTCCAATCCCTAGCTAGTAGAGGCAATAAAGCACATGGTAGTGCCTGAAATGAGGTCAGGTCTTATCAGACGCAAAGCACTGTTCATATGAGGGAAGTGTGTCTTGGCGTTCATTCTTGGACAAACAAGTGCTTCTGTGAGCACAGGTGGTGTTTTCCATAGTAAGTTGTTTCAGCTTTACAGAACTGTTACGAGGAAGAAACTCTGAGCGAAGGAATTTGGCTAGGGTAGAGTCTGCTCAGGAAAAGGAATAAAACTCAGCTTTGAGCATAGGTATTTAGAAGGACAGAAGATCCCTCAAGCAGCGCAGGAAGTATGACATGCATTAGGTGGTCACCATGCAGCTGCTATATAAAAAATCGATTACTTAAGAGTCTAAAACAGTGAAACAATTGCTATTCCTAATTCTTTTTTATTTTATAAAGGAGCTCAGTATAATTTTGTTTTTTTAATGACAGACTATTTTTCAGCAGACTACAGTTCTTGTCAAGAAAATGAAATATAAGATCTCAATCATGAGCGCCATTATATCTTTGTTCTAGAGGGGCCTCAGAGTTCCTGATACTTACCCCTTTAGACATACAGTCTTCATGTCTTCCCCTAGGGCATACCCCCATGCAACGCTTGGGCAGAAAACCAAACAGATCAGATTGATCTGTGTCGTTCTTTCTGCTAACTCAGGGTTTATGATTGCAGAGCTCATCTTCTCCCTTTCTGTAACTGAAGGAGTGTGAGAGAGGGAGAAAACGACCGATTCCTGTCAAGGACCAGCACATGGAGATGGCCTCGTTGATAGGAGTTTAATGGATAGAGTTTGTTCTGCTTGTTTTGGATTTTTTGTTTTTTCCCAAAGCAGCTTAACTGTGTTATTAAATGACAAAAATACTCTGAGACTAAATTTTTTAAAAGCCCAATGTTATAAAAGTGTTATATATTGATAGACATCTTCATATATATGTTGGGTTTATGATTATTATTTCCTTATTGTAAAGTTTTATTGTGGTTGAGTAACAGTCAAACCAGTGCACTTTTTCCATAAACTAATATGAGTTTTCTGCTTGCCTGGACCACTTCTAATTCTCTTCTCAGTGTGGGGGATGTAGACCTTAATCACTGAATGCTTCCATTTTTTAATGGCATACTGCTGAGATCAAAGAGATTTAACGTTTTTCTTTGGTATGCTGGTAGCTGAGGAATGTGTGCACAGATACGAGTGAAATATTACAAGTTGACAATGGATGCTGTGTGGTAATACTCCTGTTTCTTCTACATCTCAGACTCAACAGCCTGGAGAAAGAACAGTGCATGAACAATAGGATTTTTAGTCCACAAATACCAAGCAAGGTTAGACTAACTAGTTGGTCCTTTCTTGACCTGTGATCAGACAGATATAGAAGGGACTGTGTAAGTTACTTCTCAATATAATAGTGATATATTGTTAAAATACTATTTTATGAGTTTTTTTAATCAGGTTTCCTAGTTCAGCAAAAAGAATGAGGTATTTATTTGTTATGCTTAAGAAGATAAGTCCTTACAGAGAGGAATTGCAAAAAATACAGTATTCCTGGAAGTTAAGCCTAGATTTGAGCAGTCAGAAACTCAAACCCTTAAGAGTCACTAAATGTACTGGAAGATCCTATTTTGGGCTACCTTTTTTTTTTTTTTTTTTTTTCCCCTTTTTACTCCTTTAAAACACACTCTAGTAGTTTCATTCTCAAAATATTTTATCGTGCAGATCTATGGGATAAGGCTTCATGAATCACCAGTATTTAAGAATTGCTGACCTGGAACACTTGCCAAAACCCACAAACCATTCAATACTTTGCAGTTTGTGAGAACTTATGAGCCAAATAATATTTTACAATTCCTGATGCTGTTACCCAGCTTTGCAGGAAACGAGAGATCTTAGATCTTTTCAAATGTAAGATACTAAATGATTGCATGCAATGGGCTATTCCTGTCATAAAACTGCAACTTAAATAGAATCCAGTAATCATTCTGCTTTGCACTGATTTGATGAGTGGCATTTTAAATATATATTATTTCTATGTCAGTATCCTTCATAGGTCACAAGTAAATAGTTGACTGTCTATGTAAAAGACTGTCCCTATTCTAAGTAAACTACCATCTCAACAGTCAAAGCAGACAAAGATGAGGAGAAACTAAATACTGATTCCAAAGGGAAGGGAAAGTAAGAGAGATTAAGTGACTTGCCAAAAGATTATACAAAATACCTACATTTGAGTCTCAGCTGTATGTGGAGTCCTATAGGTTAGTGAAAAGTTCAGGCTTCCTTTGTAGCTAAATGAAAATTAATTATCAAGTAAACTGATAAAAGGCCATTGTTGATCATATAAATTTATGATCTCTGTTACTCATGCATCTCTAACGGTAGGAATGACCCAGGTTCAGATGAGATAGCCAGAGATATATTTCAATATAACTTTTCTTCTTATTTGATTTTTAATGACATAATCTTAATTTTCTTAACTAAGTGCAGATGTATAATACAGAGTATTCAGTCCTGATAAAAACAGATGTGATAATGTGGGTCTGTTTCTTTTCTAGTTGAAGAGTCTTTTATAACATACTGGCGAGGCTATCATGAGACAATTTCTTAATTATGTCCAATGCCACAATTCAGTTTGTCTGCAGTGCTATTCCAATGCACATGCAGCACTGAGTACCTACACGTGGTTGACAGCAGGAACGTGCACTTCCCTACTTTCTTGGATCTGCTGCTGTGTTTGGTAACAAACCTTGTAAAGCGCTGCCATAGAACTAGTTGGAACAAAACCACACTTAGCAGGTTTCTCCCTCTAGCCTTGTCCCTTTGACAGGTTAGTCACATTTCTTTAAGACACAGAGACCATTTTAAAATAAGGTTGTGGTGTAGGTGCCAGCCATCATTAAACCTTGGTTTTCATTAACGCAGTATAAAAAAGTCTAAGCTGTAGATGGTACTATAAATATTTAAACCATTGCTAACAGCAGCTGATTACAAACTTTCAGGAGATGGTTTAACAGTAATAATTACTGTTAATTGGGCATAATCACAAGTCTGAAAATTACCATTCTATTTCATGGACTTTACACTATCATCAAACTGACTAGTATGCAGGCCTTACTCTGTCTGTATGTAGCAAGCCTATAGGAGAGCCAGGACATGAAACCAGATCTCTCGTGTTCCAGGTTTGAGCACTATACTGTCTCCAATGTAGTTACTGTTCATCTGTGACAATATTTGTTTCTTTCATTTGAACCCATTTTTAAAAGCTAATTAAACCTTAATGAGAAATTGTATAATTTATATAAATTTTGTGGATGAGTAAAAATTTTCTGAAGGGATCTGAAATCAAGTCAGATTTTATTAGCAGTAAGCATGTTAGCAATTTTCTGCCTTTATACTTATTTTTGTTATTCTAGCACTATTGTTACTGAGCACTTCACAACATTTTTTAAATATCAGTGTAACCACTGTGTGAAGTATGAGCGTATTTATTCCAAATCAACAGGTGTCAGACTAAGGCATGAAGATGTTTGATCTCAGTATTGTAACTGGTCCTGTGCAAAAGTTATGTCTGCTCTGAAAAAATATTATAATTTTATATTTCTGTCCTCTTGAGCCCTATACTGAATTACAGTGGGGAACATATATGCATATATTTTTATTACCCAAACTTCCCATTTCAAACATGAGCATCTTTGATTATATTTCCTGCTCTTGTTTTCATAGATTATAATAAGATTTTCTGTTTATTTGTTTTTTCTTTTGCTTTTGTTTTTTTGGATGTTTTGCTTTTTCTTTTTAATTCTCTCGTTCTCAATTATGTTCAAGATCTGTGAAG